TCATTATAGCAGTTATGTCAATCTTTTATGCACTCGTGGGATTAACTTAGTGCTAGGGCATTGAATATCGAACAATACGTCAATTTCAATGATTTTGGGTTTTTTTGAGACACCCTGTATTACGCATCATTACGTTCAGCTTTTTGGTAGGGCATTCAATTTTAACAATAAGTAATTTCAATAGTTTTCGTTGTTTTGGGGACACCCTGTACAGTATAGTAGCTCAGTTGTCAGAGCATTGAATTAGTATCCCAAAGGTCGGGGGTTCGATTCCCACTTTGGTCAGGCTAACTTTTCAGCCTGCCCGGTGTGGATATACACTCAAAGTAACATCAAAAACATATTCACCTGAGTATACATCATATAACATCAAAACACACACAAAAATATCATGATCATAGAACACATTGGTATCGAAGGTACTAGACTTAGTTTCGAAATACCACACACTCGAACAGACTTGACCAGCTCAGTTGGCAGAGCATTGGACTAGTATCTCAAGGGTCGCGGGTTCGATCCCCACTGTGGTCAGGCTAACCTTTCAGCCAACCCGGTGTGGATATACACTCAGAATAACATAAAAAACATTACAGTAACATAACTTGCAAGTCTCAGAAAACGTTTAAAGCTATATAATGTGTTTAAAAAATAGCTTGTTTGGTTTAGAGTGAAATGTCCAAGATATATAGGTTTTAAAATCGCCGGTTAAACTATTGTTTTCTGCGATCATGCGTGTCTTCCAGAAAAAATATGTGTTACCAAGAAATTAGTTAAATTATCTTTTTTATCATGTAAATTGTTGCGATTATTTTCTTCGAGAAAGAGCTTCGTATGCATGAATGGATAATGTACTAACAGCTATGGAACAACGCGTCATATTTCAAAACTAAAACTGAATAGTTTGAGGTTTCCTCTGTTGTGTTATTTCTATATATACCATTGGTGGACAGATTCTCTATTAAAGAGGGATCATTTTTCGTAACCACGAAAACGTGATCACATATTATCAATTTTGCAATTGTGACATACGTTTGAGCACAAAAAAACGAATTACCAATGCTGGGCTAGTATTCCAAAGGTCGTAGGTTCGAATCCCACCGTGGCCGGGCATATTTTTCAAGCTCGCCCGGTGTGGATATAGACTCAGAGTAACACCACAAATATCATAATCACCTGAATACACTACACCAACACAGAAAAAAATTCATATTACTAGAATACATTGGTATCGAAGGAACTAGATTCTGTTCCGAAATATCACTTACTCGAACCGTCCTGACCGCGTAGCTCAGTTGGAAGAGCAATGGGCTAGTATTCCAAAGGTCGTAGGTTCGAATCCCACCGTGGCCGGGCATATTTTTCAAGCTCGCCCGGTGTGGATATAGACTCAGAGTAACACCACAAATATCATATTCACCTGAACACTACACCAACACAGAAAAAAATTCATATTACTAGAATACATTGGTATCAAAGGAACTAGATTCTGTTCCGAAATATCACTTACTCGAACCGTCCTGACCGCGTAGCTCAGTTGGAAGAGCATTGGGCTAGTATTCTAAAGGTCGTAGGTTCGAATCCCACCGTGGCCGGGCATATTTTTCAAGCTCGCCCGGTGCGGATATACACTCAGAGTAACATCACAAATATCATATTCACCTGAGTACACTACACCAACACAGAAAAAAAATTCATATTACTAGAATACATTGGTATCGAAGGAACTAGATTCTGTTCCGAAATATCACTTACTCGAACCGTCCTGACCGCGTAGCTCAGTTGGAAGAGCATTGGGCTAGTATTCTAAAGGTCGTAGGTTCGAATCCCACCGTGGCCGGGCATATTTTTCAAGCTCGCCCGGTGTGGATATAGACTCAGAGTAACACCAGAAATATCATATTCACCTGAGTACACTACACCAACACAGAAAAAAAATGTGAATTAACCAATCGGAGAATCGCTACTCCATGCTATTGAAAACAACAACAAATGTGATAAAATATACGAAATTTGAAATGGAAAACCCGCTAAACAGAGAGCCAAAGAAGTTTCGAAGATTCTCGACCTGAATACTTGAAGATTGCGAAGCGTTTGAACTTTGAAGCCAGAGATATTGTACTTGCCATGGTCTGATGAATTTCAACGCTACGCGTTGCTACTTGCTGAACAGCAATGTATCGATCAGAAATTTATTCATACAACTAAACCAACGACTCAATAATTGCAAACTTACTTCAAAGTCGAAAGGTATGGTACAATGAAACTTTACAATGCGAGTATATTTGTAAAATTATGTGCAAGAATTTCTGTTCAGAATTTCCCATGCAGGATTGTCTGATCCTGCACGGCTGTTGACCAATCAAATTGCGTGTTTCACTGTAGTTATTATATAAACGCATTTAAACATGCAATTGAGCTATTATGTGCGGTATATAGTGCAGATATAAATAACAATAAAATAGAAGAATTGCTGTCAACATTAAGAAAGAAGGCAGTCTTACTTCATGCTGCGATATTTGTACTAAATACAAAAGCTCACGCATTTCTGAACACGATCACTTTCGCTTTTGAAAAAAAAAATAATTACAGTGGTCAGTAACATAACTTGCGAGCTTCAGAAAAAGTTTAAAGCTATATTAGCATATATATTATATTGTACATTTCAAAACAACAGCCGTCTTTGTTACGTTTAGAGTGTAAAACCTACATACTGCTCAAACTGCTAAAATATCCTTCAAACTAAAGGTAAGTCTTCTAATTTTTACAGTTTTTCACATAGAAAATGAATAGCATCACGGAATCGTTCTACTTCGACAGAATGCACGCAGGCAATATATTTACTGCACCATGTATTTGCGACGTAGAAAAAAATTTTAAGGCGTGCCTTGTCTGGAGAGTGGGAGTGTAGAAAAGTGTTAGTTTTTTCAGCATTACCTCAAAACCACGCAGTTATTTAACTTATTAAAAGTTAGTTTCATTGTAACCCACACTGCAGACACTAACTGCAGCAAAACAAGCCACAGATAACTACAGGTTACAGAGTGCTCATTTGACATGCAGGTATTTCAAATATTACGTACATCGTGTAGACAGTCACGTTCAGTCACAGATGCTTGCGATACAGCAACATTTTACCACTACCCGCGCCATTAAGTATCCAATAAGAACTCTGACGCTTAAGGGGGCCTCATAAGGCATTTTATTGTTATGTATACATATTATTTATGTTTCTTTCAGAACTCGCAAGGGCATATTGCAAGATAATCAGTCACTGTACTTATTACAGTACTAGTCTAATATGAATAGGCAGCAGTTAAACGTATTGTATTTGGTCATTATTGCGGCATGCTACATATACCACACCGAAGCAGTTACCGGTACTTGTGATCGTTGGTCTGGTCCGGCTGGAGCTGTGCATTGCGTTCAGGCTCCAGGTCTTTACTATGGCTACCAATGGGCAACCTGTCGTACAAATACATATATCAAAACCACATCAAAAGGCAGACACAGTTGTATAGACAGCACGAGAATTTACTGTTATTATCAATGTATGATTGACGTGTATGGCAGAGGGAATGGTTTCGTTTTTCCACTCTGCAAGTGTTCACCAAGTGACCCTGCACCTACTGAAAGTGTTCCACTACCAGCATGGTGTTACAGTCCTGATGGAAGAAAATGTAATTGGTACAGAGAGTGTCTTAACAAAGTCTACCCCAAATGTGAAGATGACAAGGACGAGTATGCCATCAAGTTTGCAGAGAAATTTTGCAAACTTTACGACAAAAACTACAAAGACTTCTCCACAGAAGGTAAGAAATGGGTCGATGCTGTCCGGAAATGCCTCCAAGTTAAACTGGTTCCACTGATAGATACAACTCGCGTTAAGACCTGTAAAGATCTAAAATCTACAGCTTTCAAAACACACACTCCGTGCTATCTAGACCCCGATCAATCATCACTATCGTACTGTGATTTATCTATAGCAGACCAGATGACGGTGTTTTGGACGATTAAATCTGCCTACATTGATGCATTTGGGTCCAGTTTAAAAGGTATGCTTGAAGTACTGGCTGGATGTATTCAGGCAAAGACTAAATCACTTGTACAAGAAGTCAAGGCTAAAATCCAAGAAAGAGTCGATCAAATTGAGAAAGCAATAAATCCAATAACGGATATAATCCAAGAAACTGAACTGCGCATCAAAGTTTGGTTAGAACATCAAACTCCTCCAATTCAACTTGACATTTATATCAATGAGAAGGACTGGGATAAGGCTTCCAAACGAAGAAAGCGCTCAGTCCCAGATGATAGAGAAATTGTAACATCGCAATTTGCAGGAAAGATCGTGGATGCATTGGCATCGGAGCAAATGTGGAAAGACAAGGGCGTGGCTTGGTTTGCTTATGCAAACAATGAGATGGCACATGACAACAATATAATGTCTATCCGATTACTTGTAGCAAATCGTTTTAAATACGAGGGTTTTGACAACAGCTCATTGTCCTTACCGAAACATGCAAACCTGACCGCAACATTGGTGCAACTGAGCGAAGCTGTTCTGAATGGAACTCTCAATTTGACGATTGATGGAGAAAGTATTGAAATCATGAAGTTGAATGGTTGTTTAGATTGGAATTGTGAAGAACACGCGTTTAATATCACATCCTTGAAAGTACCCGAAACCAACGAAGATGATGTAAAGCCCACAGATGATGTAAAGCCCGAAGATGATGTAAAGCCCAAAGCAGATGAATGCGATGCTGAGAAAGGGCCGGATGGAGCTAGACAATGCGTCAAGCTGTCACGGTACAACGACTACCAATGGGCTACTTGTCGCACAAATTTGTATATCAACATAACGACAAACGGCAAGCACTACTGCACAAACCAGTTGCACACATATTGCCTCTTCCAGTGTATGTTGGATAAGTATGAAGAAAGCAGTGGTGATGTTTATGGCAGCTGCCAGTGTTCCGGATCACAAAAGAAAACATATATGTTTGCATATGTTGTTCTTTTGGCCGCAGTCAGCTTTTTATTGGTATTATAAATCACTAGAAAACAACTTTTAGAGAGGACTTTTAGTACCAAATAACTTTCTGCATGTTATTACTATAATCTTGGTGCACACAATATATTAAGCTATCATTACATTTTTTAGTATTAAGTTAGGATTGAGGTTAAGCTAAGCTTAGAATCCAGGGTTTTGATTAAGTTTCGATTATAATCAGGTTATGATCTAGTTACCAAATTTAAGGTTATTTTTCTGGGGGCAGGTGGTGGTTGTGGGGGGGCCCACAGAAAAATTGTAGTTGGGCAAATTATAAACATGGAAAAAAAGATGGGGAAATAAAATTTTAAAAAAATTTCCACTCCCCCAAATTTCTTTTTGCCACCCTCATCTTTACATATGCAATTACTTATTATCAGAAACAAATCTTTCTTCCCTCCCCCTCTGGATGGCAGAAATTTCCTTTGCCCTGCAGAGTGTGTTTGTTTTCTGGAACAACACATTTTTACTTATGGTAATAATTTTTTTAGGAATATGCCTCCTCACCTAACATGCACATTTTAGTGCTATATAATTCTATTATATTATTATTATTATATTATAACTAGCAGTATAGACCATTGCACTGACATCACAAATCCTTTATAGAGTGTCCTCCAGATGCTCCCTAACAATATCTGTTCGGGTACAACAACCACACACAGTGCAAAAATTAACCATTTTAATACAAAATTATTATGAAGTTTTACAAAATTTGCTTTGTTTACAAAAGTTATATTATGCATAGATTGCTAATTTGTCCTCCAGATGCATCGTCACCGGTGCTGTGATGTCATGTGCAATTATACCCAATAACTTAACTCTTTCTCGACAACCGGTTTCGTATTACATTTCGATTCAATTTTTCTAATATAAATATCTCGGCGAGTATTTACCCCCCTTTTAAATAAATGCCACCATTGAAATCCTCACAATATAACCTTTCGAACGGGGGGTCAATTAAGCACATGCAAAACATAATCGAAAGTAATAAGCATCGTAATAGTTGATAATTATATATGTAATCAGTTTTTATTTCACAATCTAAATGTAATTCATGCATGTCAGTGTAACACAGCATTAAAAGCACTTCAATAAAAGCAGCTATATAATCAGCAAATTTTTTTGTGTGTCATTTACAGCAGATACCTTCTCTCTCGCCCATATGTGTCATGTTTTTGTGACAAAATGTTTAGGAATGCGACTACATTCGTACTGTACCATTTGTACTGTATCATTTGTACTGTACCATTCGTACTGTACCATTTGGCCAATAATTATGGGAACCACTCAGTATTTTAAAATTTTAAGAAAATACAAAATAACAGTAACTCTGAATAACATTTTGATTTTTAATCAACGTTTCGACTAGTTTGTAGTCATCCTCAGGTTTCGACTAGTTTGTACTACAAACTAGTCGAATTTTGTGCCATTTGTACTGTACCATTTGTACTGTATCATTCATACTGTTATCATTCGTACTGTTCCATTCGTACTGTACCATTTGTACTGTACCATTAGTACTGTACCATTCGTACTGTACCATTCGTACTGTATCATTCGTACTGTACCATTCATACTGTATCATTCATACTGTACCATTTGTACTGTATCATTTGTATTGTACCATTCGTTCTGTACCATTTGTACTGTACCATTTGTACTGTACCATTTGTACTGTACCAATCGTACTGTACCATTCATACTGTACCACTCGTACTGTACCACTCGTACTGTACCATCATTTGTACTGTACAGAGTCTTTAACATGCCTAGCCACTGGGCTGTGTATAATTGAATTCCAGATTTGAAAAAAATAAATAATGCCACTTACAATTCAGGTAATGAGGGTTTGCCAAGCACTGAACAAATTCCAGTTCCACTTGAAAACGTTGACGAGATCCTTCTGAATCTACAAACAGAGGTTTCAAAACATTGAAATAAATATACCATATGTTTTATCTGATAAACAAGATAATGATCGAGTAGTTCTGTTATAATTACTACCCTGGCTTGTGTTTGAACTACCAGAAAAAGCTTGAATTAAATACTTTTAACACTTCAAATGATTCAAGCAAGGACTTCACCCTGACCTCTTGAATAGTGAACTTACATTTTTGCCAACTGCTACCTACACTCAGTGACACGTTTGAGATAACTTTTTCAAGTAGTTCAGACACAAACTATGGCACGCTGCCATTGGCAGCTTGCTGTAGTATTTAATAATATTACAACTATACAACCTATCTCAGTCTACTGAAAGCCTATATCTATCGTTAATTCCCTATATCTATAGCAAGTAGATATAAGCATGTACGCAAAAACTGTAAACATGCATGAAAAAGTGACAAATTATCACCTTCTAAAAATCCACCACCTTCCGCCATCTTGGAAAATTTGAATTTCCGCGCCGACCTGGGAACAAGTATAACGGTATGACGTCAGTGGTATGACGTCACAAAACCTCATGGCAGCAACCGCATAAGTGATAGTGGGCGCACAAACAAATGGCTAGTACCCAGACCTCTGGGCGCGCGTCCACATTGTTCTTTTTCAAAATGGCCGATCCATCGACTTGGGGTGACGAAGACGGGAGTAATCGTGGCGATGGCAGGGATAGTTTTGGTTATGGCAGGCCGCAAAGGTAGTGTGTTTGTAGACTGGTTTGTGTCGAAGCTTTCTAGTTTGTTTGATTTGTATATAAGAACTCTTTTGTTTTGATACTGATACCATAGTATTTGACCCTTGTAGTACTGTAGTCGACACTTTGTAGTACGTGTTGATGTAAAATGTAACTTGCTTTGTTGGTGTAGTATGTGGGAATTTTGCAACGTTTATATAGTTGCAATGTAGGTATTGTCAGTATTTTTACTATTTTATGACATGATTTCAATGTACATATATATTCAGTGGTTATCCATAGTATTAAAAATCACCAAAATGTAAATTATTCCACCATGGGAATTGTAGAGGTTATTCTATAGGTGTTGTGCAAATTATGCCACCATGTTGGATGGCACTGACAAAGGATTTTGCTTGTTTGCAATGCAAATATCATCCAACATGGTGAAAATCTCTTTATTGTTTGAATCCCATGGGATATTGGTTGCACATCACCTATATAGATCAGTTGTATCCCATTGTACATCCATTCAGGTTCTGTATCTGTAGATGTTGAATGTTTAAATGTTGTTGTAGACCTGACTCGGAGCACCAGTCTGCTAACTTTGTGAATTGCACATGGAATATGATTTTGTTGCCAAAAAATGTGCACTTATATTTCACGAGGGACAGAATGCGTACTCAAGTGATAAGTGAGGAAATTCGCACATCACTAAATATAAAGTGTCAAGCTTTTGAGTAGTCAGTAGTGTTGAAAGTACATTTTGTCAAGAAATTAAGTTCTGTTCAAAATGTTCACATATTAATGTGCACCTGACTTCAATTCTTAAAACACACATACTTTGTCTCAAAAAATGTGCACAGAAATCTTCTATGTGCACACTGTAGCTTACCAAATATGCAACCATAGGCCTCAGCACAGACATTCCAACTCTCCCGATTTTACCGAGAGTCTCCCGAAAATTCATGCAATCTCCTGGTCTCCCAATTTTTATCAAATTCTCCCAATTTTTCAGAATATTCAGGAAATATCGTAAAAAAATCATAAATATACTGTTTTTAGGCTAGCAGCATAGTCTGTCTTGACCTTTTTATGAAGTCACTTTATGACAATTTATAGGATCACTTATAACAACATATTCCCAAAATGCAGGAAATGACATTTCAGAAGACTTAATTTTTATTATTTTTTCCCTAAATTTTACCTCAAGTAGTTGGAATGTCTGTCGGCAGGAATCGAATTTGTGGCCCTCACCCTGTGTTGACCGCTTAGCTTTCAAGTCCAGTTCTGAATAGCTAAGTTCACAATGCTATTTATGATTCATCCGGTTTCTATATACTGTAGATCAGCATCCATTACATGCTGATAAAGTAACTTTCAAAAAATCTAATGATAAATTAGACCAATTTAAAATATCTCTTTGAAACTTTTATTTCCTCTTGTTTGGCTCAAATCTTCAATTATTTTCAGATATTATTCTGCTATATAGGCCAAACAAGGCAATAATTGTAATTTTATTTTAGTGATAATTTCTATGGTGGCGGTGGTGGTGATTGGAATCGTCAAAATCGCCGCGGATATCGTGATGATAGGGGGTATGGAGGGGGTGGTGGTGGATACGGTGGTGGTGGATACGGTGGTGGAAGATCCCCAAAGATACCTGATGAACCCCCATTCACTGCATTTGTTGGTGGGCTACCTGATGGCACTGTACAAGGAGATATCGATAGAATCTTTGAAAATCTGAATGTGAATACTTTATATATTTTTATTAACTTTACAAAACAAATAGGTGGTGATGGACCACCTTTTAATGCTGACCTTTTTTGTCTCAAATTTCATTAATTATATAATTTATTACATACCAGTGCTTTGATGGTTGAAAAATTATGGATACAGATTTTGTCACACAGTTATTCATTTGAAGACTTTTATGTTATTGACAAAAACTCTTTTACTTCAACTCTAGATAAAAAGTGTGCGTATTGTCAGGGATCGTGAAACTGATAAATTTAAAGGTATATACTGATATGGAATAAAATGTCTAGTGAAGAGATGAGATAAATTTATATTTTTTCTCCAAATATAGGTTTTTGTTATGTGGAATTCGAAGACCAAAAATCATTAATCGAAGCTTTGGAATATAACAGTGCTGTAAGATTGTTTAGGCTGTAAAATTAAATACACAAAGATATATATATCTTACACAAATAAAAACCAAATGTTTCTGCTGTTGTTTTAATTCATTTTGCAAGTACCAAGTTCTATTTTATGTATTATATAAGTTGTGTAAATGAGGCCAATCAAGGTTAAATAAAGTTTATGTAACCTGTATTTCTGTAGGAATATGGTGATAGGCCACTTAGAGTGGATGTCGCTGAAGGAAGGAATAAAGATCGTGGAGACAGAGGTCGCGGAAGAGGAGGTATTGTAATCAGATGCTTTCATTAGCAGGGCTTGAAATAACATTCCCAAAGTTCCAGATCATGCTGACTGGCAGTCACAATTTCCCTGTTTTTCTGGTTTGAAACCCTGCTTTTCCACCCATAAACAATATCTTGCCAATCGGTGATTGGCTGTCACTTCACGCCTTGCTAATGCAAGGTTTATCAATGGCAATACCCATATCTCTCATCTGCTAAACAATCTTCTCACATGAAATAATAATGAGACAACTCCAACAGGAATTTAACTCAGGTGAACAAGGCTAAGGGTCACTTAGCAATACATTGCCTGACCAAAGACAATTTTTCTTTGCGATGTTTTTTTTTTCTTCTAGTAAACATAGCCTAATATTTTGGTTTGAATTCTTTCAGGATTCCGTGGTGGTCGCGGAGGCGATAGAGGAAGACCACAGGGTGACAGAGGGCAAAATAACTTTCGTGACGGGGGACGCGACCAGGGTACAATAATTAAACAATATCTTGACCTTTTTAACAAACCCTCATTACCTTTTACCAAATTCACCAATAGCAATTTCCAGTTTACCTATTGTTCGAGTCACAGATAGGTGACTTTCCTAAAACATTGCTATTGGTTAGCTGGGCAAAAATACACTACACATGTGACGGTAAAGGACCAGATTTATGAATAAACGTTGACCAACATAGATAATGAGTTATATTGTTATTCTAACGAGTTTCACAGCCATCTTCCCTTCGATAGGCTATATTGCATCCCCCACCAACGAAAGCTTGTTCAAAATTTTCATATTATATTTTATTCTTACAGGTCGTGGTGGCTATGATCGTGGTGGCTATGATCGTGGTCGGTATGATGGTGGCAGGGGGGGACGGCAACATGGTCGTCGAGATAATAGAGGACCACCAATGCCATACGAGAACTTCCCTGAGCCAAGCGAAGGTAAACATTGAGTGCTATGTTCTCCGTACATTACAGGGAAAGATAGGGTGAGCTGATCATATTTCCATGAAGCCGAGTGACTTACAAAGGATGTAGCTCAAAAGTGATCATATCAAAGCTAACATTAGGAGCCTGATCACAGAGGGCAAATCCAAGGTGGAAGAGTTGTTTTTGGCAAGGGTAGAAAACTGGAAGGCCAAGAGAAAAACCTTGAAGCACAGGAGAGAAACAACCATAATTCTATTTAAATGAGTTTATTAAGCACATCAACCACATCTAAGTATATACCAGGGTTCGTACAGGTCAGGAAGAGTTAAAGTCAAGGACTTTCAAGGCCATGTTTCAGGAAATTCAAGGACAAAAGGGCTGAAAAGAAGGCATTTTTCAAACAGCTTTGGCCTTTGTAAGACATGAACAAAATCAACTTACAGAATGTCCAGTTCGTAATGCCAAACAATTTCAGAAAATATCCACTAAAGCAAGAACAATTTAAGGACTTTCAAGGCCTTGAATTTTTGTTTCCAAATTCAAGGACTTTCAAGGATTTTCAAATTTTGTACAAACACTGATATACCCTATGCTAACTCGGCAGTAACAGCCTGCCTAACCATGTCTGTCACCTGTAGTGTTGTTCAATATTGTGTTTATACA